AAGGCAAGCTGTCACACTACCCCCTTAGAAAGCGGTCCCAGCTCTCTTAAAAAGTACCTGACAGAGGAAGGAAAAAATAAAAAAATTCAGTCGTGAACCATGGTTCACGAGTGGAATTGCTGAAAAAAAAAACCAAAAAATACGCCGAGGCTATAGATCGCGATAATCGTCAGGGTCAGCGTCGTAGCCTCTAGAAGCGTTCCATTCCGCTAAAATTTCCTCCCTTTCGTCCGAGTCAAACTCGCTTAAACCTTCATTTTCCCTGACAAGTCGGTCCGAAAAAGGGTCCCAAAGAACTCGCTTCTTTGTCAAGGGCTTAGCTGGAAGAAAGGTATAGCCAGCTATTTAGTGGTCGATTGCACCGCAACGGGTACAGCGATTTGATTTGCGCCAAGCTTCGCGCTGATCAAGAGTGCTATGAAGAGCATGCTAGAGAGTGAGGTATCGGTCTTCCAACAGCTGAGTTTGGTCAGCCTCGTGAGCGTCGATAAGCTTTATAGCGCCGAGCTCGTTGGCGTGCTGCAATTGCTCGAGTTGTTGAGCGCGGTCGACTGTTGAAAGGTCCATTAGGTCGCCGGGAAGAGGGCCCGTTGACGTGCGAGGGCGGTTCTAAGGAGCCGATAGGGCCGGAGGCCGAGAGAATCCGTGGGACGGGCCGGAAAGGCCGGAAGAGCGTCCAAGCTGCTGAGTGACGTGCACGTATTCGGTATACGTAGTTAAGAGAGTCAATTGGCCATTCAAACGGGTCCGAATAGTTGAGTTCAGACCATTGCGGAACGCAATAATCTTATTAGCGTCGGGCCAAGTCTGATAGCGAGCAGCGTGCAAAAGTCGTTCGAAGCGTAAGACGTAAATATAGAGAGCGTCCGTACCTTGCTTGCAAGCAAGCAGCTTATCCTTAGCTTTTTGAATTTTGTTTGGATTGTCGTAAGCGAGAGCGAGCTGATCCAAAAGAGTATTATAGTCCTAATTGCCGGAGTCTTAAGCTAAAGCCAATTGAGTCAAAACCATTGCTTAGGGACCGGGTTCTATATTAAAGTAAACGTAATAGAACTGCGCAGTAGGTCCGCCAAGAGCCTTACCGTCGACGAGAAGCTTGGCCTTGATTGAGAGGAGCTAAGTATCCTACCGCTGAACCGTGCCGTTGAACTTATCGGGATCAAGAAGGACGCATTTGCGCTAGCGAGGGGCCATTCGTAATTGCTTTACGAGAGACTCTAATTGAGCGATTCTCGTAAGGGGGGAAGGGCCGTCGTCTTCGTAAGAGGACATAGTAATGGAATGAAAAGGGGGGCGTTTGAGTGTCGGAAACGCCAGGAAAAGAGTAGAGAAGAAAGTTCGTCTTGCAACCGAAGTGCAAAAAATTGAATAGAGCTCTTTTAAGTCGGAAGAGCTAAGGAAGAAGTAAGGTCGTAAAAAAGACAATAATCTGTAAGCAATAAATGAAGACCGTAAAGCACCCAACAAGTAACTCACTCCGTTCTTAACAATAATCAATAAGCCGTAATCTATAATAATAAGCAATAACAATAAGCTGTAATACGACGACCTAATCGAAAGACTTTGTATAATGTAACGAACTGATAAATTCTGACCTTAGAATACAAAGTAAAGAGAGGAAACAGGAAGCTCGGGGAGCTCAAGAAGGTCTATATACATGGCCACAGGCGCTAGGCCTGAATAGGTGATCAGCTGACTGCAGGTAACAAGGCAGGCTGTCACAGATTGCATATATACTTGCGATTATAACCTTTTTTTTAAAAAAAAAATATTTATTAATTATATTTACTAATTATTAATTAACGTACTTAAGTTCGAAAGTTTATTAAGTGTATTACGGTTAGCTAACTTCGAAAATCGCAATTTAATAAAACGATAAAAGCTTTTATCGACGATTCAAAGCATTTTTTAACGAAAAGCTTAAAGCTTGCTTTAAATATTATTATAAAATAAGATTTTATATTTTATATGCTTAATCGATTTATAATTCTTAAAGATATTATTTAAAGATATTATATAAAGATCGATAAGATAAGTATTTTTGAATTATCTAATACTTAATAAAAGCATATCTTATAGCTAATCGATATCTATCGACCGTTTTACTTTTTAATTATACACTTAAGTAAAGAGCTTAATCTTATTATTTAATACGGATTTTTAATATTCGATAAAATATTCGAACGTTTAAATAAAGCATAAGCACGATTAAAGTTTAAATATATAAAGATTTCGAAAGAAGATCGTAATAATTTTAAAAAGATCTTGCAATTAAAAGAAAGCGTTATTAATACTATCGAAAAATTAAATAAGTATTATAAAAAAACGCAAAAGCCGTGAAAAGATATTTTTGCTTTCGCGATAATTTTATATCTTGCTATTAAGCTAAAGACTTTCGATTTAAATTTTTTTTAGTTTTACGAAAGTAAAGATTAATTTGCAATATATCGAGCGAGATTCGAAAAGCTTTTTAACGAAGATTATAAGGTTTTAATATTTATAACTTAACGTATTAATAATATTAAAGCAATCGATCGTCAACCGATAGCCGCTTTATTACTCCGCGGCAGATTAATACTAAGTTCTTTTTTATAAGTTTCTTTCGAAAATACAGATCATAAGTCGTCGGAAGTATATAATTATTTTTCAGCTCGTAAATTTAAAATTTTAATTTAAAACTTTAATTTTATTGATTTTTATTAATTGAGTTTAGCGGTCGACGGACAAGAGATTTTAACTTTTTAGCGAAACCTTAAGCTTCGATACTTTAATCTAATTCGAATAGCTAGAGATTTTTTATATATCTTTTTAATTAATATTTAGGTAAAAATAGTATTTAATATTGCAAAAGATATTTGCGATTATCGTCGCGGTAATTTATCGCTATTAATAATCGTAAAAAAAATAACTGTTTTATATTTCAAGATGTGTAATACTCGCTTAAATAAAGCTCGGCACTTATTCGAATCGATTTTAATAAATTATAATAATTTAAATAAAGATCAGCTTAAAAAGGAATTCGAATAAAAAGTATAAAAGTTTTGAGAATAGCAAAATCTTTAATTTTAAAGCTTATTTTATTTTAAATATATCTTTGCTTACGATAATCTTACGATCGATTAAGACTTTCGAATAATGAGTTTTAAGTAACGAAAAGCTAAGTTGATAATATTAAAAGCTAAAGTGCGAAAATCACGTAAGTTTAAATAATATTAATTTTATAAATATTTATTAATTATATTAAATAAGAAAGAGCTTAAATAAGTTTAAAGATATTAATAAAAATATTTCGTTTAAAATGCGATAGCCACAGTATAGAAAGTCTTTAAATTACGAAAGGCATTCAAAAAGTAAATTAATTTACTTACGATATTTTTACTTTTTATCGATTTATTAATCGATTTATTAATCGATTTATTAACTATCATATAAGATTATATAAAGCGCATTCTTCTTTTTCTTAATGCAAAGTCGTAGCAAATCGATTATATTCTTTATAAAGAAAACTAAGCAAAGTAAATCAATCGAAAATAGCTACGGATTTACTTCTCGATAAGCAAACTTAAGATAATATAAATTAAAACGTTCTTAATAATATAAAAAACGAAAACGATTTAGAAAATTCAAATTCGAACGGTACGAACGAATCGATTAGCTTTAAACGCTATATAAACTATAAAAATAAAGTGCAACGAAGTATAATATTATATAATATACGCTTTTATTTAAATATAAATTTTAATTTAAATATTAACGATAGCAAATTTATACGATCAAAACATTTCGATTCTCGAATGATATTTTTTAATAAAATTATTTTAACGCGAAAGAAATATTAAGCTTTAAGCAAAGTGATAAAAAAATAATAAGTAAAAAAGAAGCTGATAGAATACCGAACTCGGCTTCGCTATCTTATAAAACCTTAAATACCGCTTAAACCTCGAAACTTAATATTTCGAAACTTAAAACTCTTTTAATCGTTATTCAAAATCAAAGTAAGTTAATTATTATATATAAGTTTAACGACCTTAAATTTAATACTTTTATAAACGAACGAATTATAAATCTATTATCAACTTTAAAGCGTAAACGAATAAACGAAAAAGAAGATGATAAAGCGGGATTAGTATTAGATAAAAGGAAAGAAGCTTCTTTTAGAATCAATCGTTCAATTATAAAGAGTATCGCTTTTGCTAAGTTTTATAATTAGCGACTTTGATTTTGATTATTGAATTGCTTTTTTTGTATTATTAAGTTTTTATATTTACTTATTTATAATCGATTGCAATAATCAATTAAATACTTTTTTATCGATATCTTCAATTTTTTTATTATTATTAATATATTTATATCGACTTTAGCTAGCTAGCTAAGAATACCGGTAGTAGTAATTAAAAGAAGAGTTCATTCGTAAATTATATATTACGAGTCAATTAGCATGCCTCGCTTAAAATGTTATATTAATTAAAAGACCTTTAACTTAATTATAAAATCTTTTAATTAATTAGTGCTCGTAATTCTTTTAATTATAAGTATTACCTTTACTAAACTTTAAAAGAACTGATTCTTTTTATAACTATTAAGTTTTTTAATAAAGTTAAGTTATTCGTAAAGCTATATAACCCGTGAATTATAGTTTACGAGTAAGTTACGTATAGTAGCTTTACGTACGCTACGTAAAATAGCGACGTGCGTTACGTAAAGCAGCTTTAAGTACGTTAAGTGTAATAGCCTTACGTAAGTTACGTATAGCAGCTTTACGTGAGTTACGTGTAGCAGCCTTACGTACGTTAAGTATAGCAGCCTTACGTAAGTTACGTATAGCAGCCTTACGTAAA